GGAAGAAGGATCTTTTTTATCACTTGGTATTTCATCATTTATTTAGAACAAAAGATCGGTTTTCTTACATATTCCGATCAGGCCACCAATATGGATATTAATGATGATCAACCCCCGCTCCCTTTGGTTATGTCAAATTCGGTTCTTGCAATAGTCGCTGGATCACATACGACCTCACACGTAATTTCCAACATCATCTATTATCTCCTTCGGCAGCCGGAGTACCTTCGACGTTTACAGAAAGAGCTCGATATAACATTCCCTCCTTCAGAACAGGCTGTTATACAGATAGATAAATTAGCTAATTTGGAATTACTGGATGCGATTATGTTAGTAATTCATTTTATTTGCAACTTTATATGTTCTATTATTTTATAACCCCCTTTCAGCAATGAAGTCTTACGACTACAACCTCCAGTTCCGACATATCTACAAAGGGCTCCACCTATTAATAGCGGTGGCAGGCTTTTAAATGACTTGTAACGTTTTTTTCCCTCCCGGATGGATACTAATTCTCAGCTCGTAAAATAGATTTATTCCCGAAGGAACATCAGTTGTTGTTCCCCCCCATGCTATCCACCGTGACAAACGTTATTTCTCTCCTAGTCCTGATCAGTTTTGGCCTGAACGATGGTATCTGCATAACGAAACGATCGTGACGGATCGTTCAGCCTTCATTCCATTCTCATACGGCCCTGCGAATTGCGTGGGTAGACCACTTGCGCTCTTGGAGTTGAGATATATCACTGCTATACTGATTTACAACTTTGATTTCTCATTTGAGGAAGGATACGATCCTGATCAGTGGGACAAGGATCTATTCGATAGATACGTTGTGATTAAAGGAGGATTACCAGTAAGGATGGAGACAAGGAATTCTTGAATATTTAGTATATAGTATTAAATTATGTGTGCTTTTTACGACTTCCATTATCGAAGTGGTGTTTTTTTTTAGGATTTGAGATTTCAACGCAACCCCAGGAGTAGGACTTCAAACGATCGCATCTCAATACCATCGTGAATAGAGTAGGCACCTGGTTACCAGCAATAATCCAGGATGAATAACTTGTTGTGGCGTCCTTGGCTTGTAAAATTCTACTTCCGGTTAGCGGGTTGAAAGAATAAGGGCCATTTTCAATACGGGGTAATCACCTACCCCGGTGCGACAACGTTCTTGTAACGAAAGTCGATTCATCTGGGAGCAAAAAAAGAAAAACTATGTATTATAATTTCTCTGCTTTTCGTTTCAAGTTCTATTGAACCTTGTTGCCAAACAAGTCACACATCAAAATTGAAAGACTTGGCGAACCCCCTGACTTTCGGTCTTGTGAGTCCATGAAATCCCTCCGGTAGTATATTATGCAGGCGACCCATATTTTCGCATGAATGGGGGGGGGGGGGACAATGACATCACCCCGTCCATCCCAGTATTTTCGGTGAAAGTTTTTTTAAAAAAAACATGCGCACAATTTCAAAAAGGAGCGACTAAATGATCATTGATTCGGTTAAAGTTTGAGAGTTATGATGTGACCCTGTGACTCCGATTAATAAATGTAGAAACAACTGGTTCGGGTCGTCACCTTCTTCACAACGGATGAGTGTATTCTGATGACTACTTTTCACATACCCCTAAAGCCAGGAAGTCGTTTACGAGAAAAAGGACGTTCAAACTCGTTCTCAGATTATCTCCCGACATCCAATGGCCTACATGAAAAACACACGTTGAGGAGGTACCGCACATGGACTTCCACTTTTTACATCCCACTTCCATGGCCCTTTTCACGATGTACACGTGTCCGACATCTCAAAATTATCTTACCGATACCCGCAAAAGCATCCAAGTACATGTCTAATCTCGCTCGGTCTCGTTCAAGGCGATTCAATCAACTTGTAGCACTTATTTCGATCATACTATTATTTTGGAACCTTCATAATTTCTTCAAAAGTTCGTTACATTTCAAACCGAAGCCAACTACATTGGTTTTTTCTCAAGAAGACTTAAAACGAATTTGGGAGTGGGAAGTCGCTAGCGGGCATTACCAGAGCCGTCGACCATGTATGACTACTACTTCTTTTTTCTTCTTTTGACGCTGATCAATTTTTTTTTTCCTAGTTCCAAATGGAAGCTCACCCGATATTCCTTTATTGAATCCAGGTATACCACAAGACCCTATTATAACGACTCCTCATGCGTCACGAAAACAAGTTCGTTCCACGGTCGGCTCGGGACTGCGGCGAACGTACGTTGATATGCAAAGTTTACCCCACAACATTGGATACCCACCTAGACCAGTTCCTGGAAGTATTGCAGATCTTGATATAGTAATGGAGCAATGCGATTTTGGTAATAACAAGGTATGAAATCGATTCCTTGTCAGTGTTATCCCGAACACTTAAAAAAAACTGGTCCCATATGGTAGTATGTCAGAGATTGTCTAGAAGTGTTGCGAATAGGAGCAGGATTGGATAGAGGGCGACGAATTCGACGTGGAAATCTAGACATTTGGAAATATATTTATGTAGAAGAAGGTCAGCGACTGACTCTTCCCACTCCTCCAAAAACACCTCCGAAAACAATTTCTGGGATCACTCCAAAACCAAGTACATCTCTTGAAGAATCTCTAGAACCTCCTCTTCATCTTCCACCCCCTCGGTCATACTGGACATCGTCCGAATTAGCAACGGCATGTGATCCGGATCATCCACGTATATTCCATATATTCTGGGGCGGACCTTTTACATCTCATCCTTATGCCACCATTCTATCCTTCCTTTTCACTCAGAATCTTGGTCTTCATCTTTCTCCAAATGAGACGACGGCATCGATATGTCGACCACAGTTCTGGGTTTGGATACAGACCGGTCCTGCACGAGAGGCCAATCCCAAACCGGGCGCGCTAAAGGAAATGTACGACTCATTAAGCAGCAATCCTTGGTCTGCCCCGTTCCTTCATCCTCGGTTTAAAGATATTATCAAGTTCAAGTTGTGGAACACAACGGAACAACTTGACAATATCCGAGAGTTAAAGGATGAATGGCGGTCTACCAATCTGTTCAATTCCGGAGGCCATGTTTATGAAATTCCACCAGATATCGATGAGAAAAAGACACAGTTTATGAACATTTTGAAATCGCGGCGGGATGAAGATGACTTGATGAATCGTATCGGCTCTACTTCTTCCTCAACATACGATCGGATGCGAACCATATTATCGGATTTGGCACGATTTGTCCTTTGTCATCGTTATGGCGGTATTTATCTGGATGCAGATACGATCTTTCTTCGAGATTGGGAAGAGTTATGGGGATGGAAGGGGGCTTTTGCCTACCGCTGGTCACGTTTGCCCCAATACAATACTGCAGTGCTTAAGCTTAATAAAGGATCAGCCCTGGGAACGTTCCTCACACGAACCGCTCTTCGCCATGGCCTGGATTTTCATCCCATGACCGCGATCACTGCTTACGCCGAGGACGCCGGTTTAGATAATTTGTTGTTGAGATTACCTGATGCTCTTTTTGATTCACCTTGGCTTAATACAGAAGGGTTTCAAAAAGACAGACCACCATCTCCGCCTTTAACCGAGTACGTGATGATATATCATAGGGTTTTTATAAGTAGTAATTGATTATCACTCTTTAGATTTGTTCATTTCTTTGAAACCCCATCTGCGGCAAGCAGTGATGCACAATCTGCTGGGTTTGAAGGCTTTTTCCGTGGGGCTTATTCGTATCATTGGCATAACAATTGGTAAGAGCGCGATGTCATGTATGACACTTTTGGCACAGTTGGACTGATGGTAACATGTTTAGGTGGAAACCGTGGGATCCGGCTCGAAACTGGCCAGACCTGGGTTCTCGTTTCGCAGAAGCGGAAAGACTAGGACGACTCCAGGCTGTTGACGCAGCTCGCAGCTCTCAACAAGCCGAGTCGTTTTCATTTATAACGAAAGCGAAAGCCCGACGTGCGCTATCAAAAATTATCATTGAAGGAGAAGAAGAAGAGAGCGTCGAAGATGATAAACGTGATCTTGACTGGGCCACCATTTTAAAACGGACATTCGAAAGTTATATTCGAGGCGATAGTCCGAATATGTATGGCGAATGGATATATTGGTAGCTACACAGATAAGGTGGTTTGTAATGTTTGATGTACCTTCATTTCTTCTCGAATTCCACACGGACCTATTCATAGGCATCATATCTTCTTTGTGTTTTTTCCCAATTTTTCTTCTTCGTTTATGTTCGTCGTCTAAGTACATACAAGCATACTTTCCTTTTCATCCTATCCTTTCACAACAACAATGCTTTTTTGCATCATTAGCAATACATCACTTCTCTAGTAATGCTTTGGGGTTTACTACAGCTGGTTTCAATGGATGTAGGCCATTCATTGCCAATTTAATATCAACGTCAACTTTGTATATACAAGTTTTCTGTCTTTCTGTTTACTGAGCTAGTAAAAACTTGACGGTGGGGGTCATTTACCGTTCCTTGTATAGCGACAGAAGGACAGCAGTGAATGCTTAGGCTAACTCAGGCTTTGTTGTGAACGTTTTTTTAGGAGTACATTTCTTGTTATCGGTGGAACGGGGGTGTGAGAAGCCTTTGACCTTCTTCGATTCTGTCGATAGGAAAGTTCGAACAAGGTTAGTAGCCGCAGAACCTAAGATTCAAAAAGACAACGGAATCTGCGGCAGAGATAGTCTAGTGACTCGGACAGGTTCAGGAGTTTTCTTGAAACTTTGACTTGCAAATAACTTTTGGCTGTTCGTAAGATGGGAAGGGGACTCCGAGTTGCCATTCTGCTGGCACGTCCAGGTATAATTAGAGTTTGGACGAAAGAAGATAGTGGGAAGCGTTAAGTACTAAATAATTCAGGGAGATTTATATTGCATAGCAAAGAAGGAGTTAAAAAGAAAGAGAAGGAACGCTTGACGGGAAAGCTGTTTCTTTTGTTGCATAGGTCACTGATGAGTGCGCAAAGTACACTTCCTTGCTAAGCCGCGTTAGCCTAATGGTAGGGCGTCGCTTTCCTAGCGCGGTCCAGGCGGAGATTGCGGGTTCGAGTCCCGTACGCGGTAGTGGTTATTTTTGAAACATTTTGATTTTTCCTTCAAACGTACAATAATCCTCGTTAAGATGGTGTATCCAAGTTTATTGAATCTGTCTCTTCCTAATTGATTCTGAACTTGTGGGGAGAAAATCCAAGACTTAGTAAGGCTGAAGCGCTGGAGGCTTGGAGTTTTATTCAAACCAGTTTCTACCAAGAACATCACAGGATAATTTAACTCTCTGCTAGAGCAAAAATAAAGCCAAAGATTATATTTAATATCCAAGACTTTTATGCTTTGGAGAGGGGCGAGGCATTGCAGTCCTCTTTGACGCCCCAAAAAACCGATTACGTCAGCGTCATCTGTCCACTTCGTGGTTTTCTTTCCTTGGGGTTTCTCCTCGAAAAACCTATAGATTGAGGTCTATTCTAACGTTTGTAAAGAATTTTTTTAAAAAAAAATGGCAGCAAATACTATGGCTGCGGCATTAGCCGCAAGTTTACCTGCTCCCCAAGCTGCTCCTGCTCCCGCCACACCTTCATATGAAGCTATTCCTGCATCCATGGCGAAAGTTATTGACACTGAAGGAGAGATACCCATTAAAAATATTCAATTAGATGGATTGGTAAGTGTCTTGGAAGCTCTGGTTTAATTTTCAAACTAACTTTAGTTTTGACTTTAGGTTGTTAGTAAGATAATAAAGCATGGAAGGGATATGGCATCTGCTTCCTCAAGTGTTCCTGCGTATGGATTATTACTGGGATTAGATCTAGATGGAACATTGGAAGTATCCAATTGTTTTGCCATGCCTAATTCATCAGACGAAGATGAACGAACTGGAAAGGCTGCTGGTGAGTTTCCATAGCTGGTTTCTTTGGTTTTTTTTAATGTCATCATCGTAGCCCGTTACCAGAGCGCCATGCTACGATCATTGAAGGAGGTGCAATCTGATGATAGTATCGTTGGTTTTTACCAATCGACAACCTTGGGAGCATTTTTCTCTCAGACACTTGTTGATTCTTTGGCGGCTCAACGGGATAGATTAAGGAGAGGCGGTGTTGTGGTGGTACACGGTAAGTTAGGCCGCATCATTTTAATCTTTCATCTTTACCCTATTGGGAAAAAGGATGAATTCACGGAAAGGCATAACAATGATGCTAACGCGAGGCATTGTGATCGTTGAACAGATGTATCCCAGACAGCCCGAGGCAATGCGGCTTTCCGGGCCTTCCGATTAACGCCCTCATTCATCGATGCTTACAAAAGAAAGAAATTTAACACGCAGAGGTTCGTGGAGATTTATTGAACTTTGTTTATTTTATTTTTTTTTGGTACTAAATTGATGATTTATACGTGGCATTGGTACAGCTTAATCCAGCATCGCCTGACGTTTTCCTCAATTCTTGAAGAAGTCCCGCTTGTGATTCGAACGAATGCGCTTATGAATGCACTAATAGGAACATTTACTGAAGCAACTCAGGAGCCATATGAGGATCCAGCGGGAAGTGTAATTCCGACGCTCGCTGTACCCCAATCGTCACTACCACCGTCATTCTCAGGACTGGATCTAGAACCTCCGAGTTATATTTCATCCAACTTGGAACGGATTGGAGAGGGATTAGATGATTATAAAACCGAGGAGAATAACGTCAGCTATTTATTACGACAGATTACACGGGAAAGGGCAAGGGCCGACGCATATGTCCAAAAGCGTCGCGAGGAAAACGCGGCGCGAATTTCAGCTGGATTAGCGCCGTTACCGGAAGAGGATGTGTCTCGCCTTTTCAAGATACCCGCTGAGCCCAGTCGACTTGACAGCATGTTACTCCTCGGGCAATTGGATTCACATGCGAAAACGCTCGAGAATTTGGCCAGCAGTCAGTTGGTCAAAACGTTTGCATCGCGTGTATAGCATACATGATACATCTTATTTCATATTATTTCATGTATTGTGTTTCCATAGCACCCAATTATAAGAACCCACGATCCTTTTTTTTTATTTAACCACCATCAGGTTTTTGTTCCAGAAGTCACAAAAAAAACATATTATTGTTCATTTGTCTCGCTTGTCACACTTTTTTTTATAAGTAGAAGCGCTTAACACTGCGGAAATCAGGGTGCCGCCCTGAGCCGAGGACTTTGTCGGAGTTCGCCGCATACATCCAGTGCATATTTAAAAGGAAGGACTGGTGGTTGATTCACTTCCTCGTTCGTTTCCAGCTCCATATTTTTCAAAGAGTTCGGGCCTTGGCTTTCCTTTCCCTCCCGCATTACATTCACGGCCGTCGCTAAGACTTCCGTACCCGCCAATCGTTTATATTCTAACACAAGCCTCCCAAACTCACTCGTCCTTCCTTTCACCTGTACACAGTTATTCTAAACGACCACTTCCATTCTTCAACGAAAAACAGATTTATTCTTTCTTTTCAAGAATGTACTTTGCAGCTGCTCTCATTGCATCTCTCGTTCTCTCTGCGAATGGTCTCGTTACTCCTCATGCCCAGGGTGTGTCTCGACGCCACGCTCAATTGGCCAAAGCTCGTTCAGCAGAACCGGCACCAATTGCGGTTCCAGTTTTTGCTGAACCTCTCGTAGCTCGGGATGTTCCCAAGAGGAGTTTGAAGAAACGTTGCGTTGCGCGCTCAAATTCGACTAGCATCTCGAAGGTACCGGCTCCAACCTCGACCCCTGTTGCCAGTTCTGTCGCACCTGCGGCACCCGTCAATGTCGCACCTTCTCCAAGTGTCAAGCCTTCTCCAAGCCCTGAACCCCAGCCGTCTTCGTCTGCTAAGCCTAGTCCCTCCCCTGAACCTGCGCCTTCCCCTTCACCCTCGCATAGTGCTGCACCTGCACCTCCCCCTCCCCCTCCAGCACCCAAGCCAACTACATCGGCTGCGCCTCCGCCACCAGCACCGTCACCATCCCCTTCTCCCCCTGCTTCAAGTGGAGGAGGAAGCAGTAGCAATCCCTACACTGGTAGCCACAGTGGTGACGGTAAGCTTTTTTTATTACAAAGGAATTAATCTTTTGTTTCTATGAACTCAATTTCTCGACAACAGGTACTTTCTATGCAACCGGTCTTGGTGCATGCGGTATTACGAATAATGACTCTCAATTCATCGTCGCCATTAGTCACATTCTTTTCGATAATGCCCCGTGAGTACTCTATTAGATCTCATCCGTTGGTGTATCCTGATTCAGTGTTCAGTGGTTATGATGGAGTAAACCCCAACACCAACCCTCTTTGCAACAAGCAACTTAACGTTAACTGTGAGTATTTCTGGGGAATTGATCCATCATCAGCAGAGGTCTAATTTTGCGTCATAGACATGGGACAGAGCACAACGGTTACCATCACTGATCGTTGCGTCGGTTGCGCCCAATTTGACTTGGGTAAGTTCATAACCATCGACGTCGGCTATAAACGGTATCTTATGTTTTCTTGCAGACTTCAGTCCTTCCGCTTTTGACGTCCTTGCTAATCCCTCCATCGGTCGTCTCCATAATGTCGATTGGACCTGGGCTTAAATTGTTTTATACACTTTTCCTTTTGTTTCGATTTCCAAACAGCGGTGGATCTGCTTTTTTCTTTTCTTTCTCATATGCGCTCTGGATGCGCGCGGTTATAGAAGTTCGCTTATGGTCAGGGAACATGGTGCAGAACGGTTATTTTCTTTTCAACGATGCTTTATTGGCTATTGCATGGTCGATATACGATAAATAGTGGTCGTCGTGATACAATTTTTTTTTGGTCCTTATTTTCTTAACCCGTCTGACGTGTTAAAAAGCTGAATTATTTCCTTAATATGTTTGTCTTTGTTCTTTTTTTTCTTTGTTTTGTCTCTGTTTACTTTGAAATTAAGCCGTTTATAAAAGAAGTTAGTCTCAAAATTATCTTATTATACAGGGATCGGTTATAGAATTATTATCTTTTTTTCTTCTATTTACAAATGAATACGTTAAATTTCTTCCCTTTTGTCCAAGCCATCTAAGTGTCAATTGTGAGATTGAATTGATATTGATTGAGAACGTGGGCTTTGCGCTTTTGTCGAACCGAAGTACGTTTTCCATTATTTCCCATTGGACTGTTCTATTTTTAGTTTCCCTTTCAGATTCCGATATCGGCCATTTCTCCATCGGTGATCTCCCTTACCAGGCACAGAGTATACCGTAATTAAGCCAAAATGCTGACTAATGCTAACTGTGGAGTAACACAATTTTTTCTTTGTCTCTCCGTATTTCGATGATGATGTAAGTGAAAAAAAAACGAAAAAAAAGGGTCTAGGCCTTTTAAAATACTATAAAAAAAACAACTTTGCGCCTCAAAAAAAAAGTTCAGTTTTTCGGTTTTGCAAAAGTTTTCTTTTTTTAATCAATTGATATCATTTGTATATTGTGGTCCGGTCCGACTAAGCGGAAATGCGCGTACCACCGGTGTTTCTCAATTACCTTTCGCATCGTGGTTTAATAATAGTAGTGATATTGTCCTTTTTTATTGTTGTTTCACCATCTTCAAAAGGTACTATATACAAGGTATGTTTATACAGATTTTTTTTCTTATTCAACTAAGTATCTTTCAAAACGTTGTCAATTTTAGTTTGGAAGGCTTGCCGCTCAAAAGGAGTCTATTTGAATTTATTAGTGGGGGGTTGAAACGTTCCAGATAGGTATAATAATCTTAGTAAACATCGCCGCTGGTTTCTTGAATCTGGTTTGGGCGATATGACTGAATTATTTCGAAAGTCAAGATGTATTTCATTATTTCCAAGATGGTGCGTTAGAGAAGAAGAAGGCGACCATAAATTATTAAGATTAAACGTTGGATCTCATGTTTTATTATTATTTCTTGTATAGACGCTACCATGGCCAGTCACTGCATTGCACACATTACCTTCTTCTTCTTCGCCCTCCCTTCCTCTTTTTGACTCCAGTTATTCACTGACAGGTCTTCGCAGTGGAGCTCCACTGAGACTTCCAACTTCCCTCTCTTGTCGCTCAATATTTCGAATTCGTTGCTGCGATCTTATTAC